TTCCTTTGTCATGGCAAGGAATCCATTGCCCTAGTTTGTTTCTTTGTGTTTTTTTTTTCTTTTAGGGTTTCCTTGCTGCCATGGACTCTTCTTTTTCCCTGTAAATATCATTGATCTTGTATTCATATATTTTTAAAAATAATAAACAAGATTGACAAAACCCAATCCGCAGAAACTAATCCGATCCGATCCGTTACTTCACGAATCGGTTCAGTTTCAATTTTTGCCAATCCGTGGGGACCGATCCGACTTGATCTTTATTCCCAAACCTCACCGATTCGAACCGTGATCAGGCCTAATGGTTTATACTAATTTTTTAGGGTTAAACTCGACAAATCCTTTTCTTTTTTTTTTTCCCCCCTCTTTGCTCCCATCTAGGTCTCACTCGGTCATCCACTTCTTTCTTTTCCCTTAGCTCCGGCTGCCAATCATTCCAAATCCTAATATTTCCTACCAGACCTCCACTTTTTAGAATAATAAAAATTCTTTTAATTCTGAAATAATTCCAAGCCGTTTTTTAGAATCATATAATAAATAAATAAATAAAAAGCAAAAGTAGTTTTAAAATTACTCAACTTTGAATGTATCTTCTTTCAATTCTATTTCTAGAGAACAACACATGGAAAATTGTCTTTCGTACCTTTTTCTGTTATTTTTAATTTTCTTAAGGTAGAAAACTATTCTTAAAAAAATTGAACTAACCATTTCTATTTCTACCTTTTTAAAATATACCTCAACTGGTTTGGAATGATTAGAAAAAGAAAGATGCAGATGAATATGTGAGCAAGATACACAGATGGGAGCAAAGAGAGGAAAAAAAAAAAAAAATAGATCTGTCAGGTTTAACCCTAAAAAATGGGTATAACCCAATGCTTTGTATTTTTTTTAAGTTTTAAAAAGATATCAACCTCTTATTAGGACACATTAATATGCAAGACATAATCTATTTTGATGAGATAGGACTAAAGTATTATCCTGAATGGAATAGTGTATGCACTTTAAAGAAATTTAAACAAGCTAATGATTTGCCAACTTGACCCAATTCATGTTTTTGTCTGAACGTAGCCCATATAGGCACAATTTCGGGCCAGACTGTACCTTTATATCTATCTCTATTGGGTTAGACTTCTTATAATTTATAGTTCCACTACCATTTTTAATCTACAGTGCGGTCTTCATGTGAAGTCTATTGATGTCTAAAATCATTAATAATCAATATGCTTGGAACCCTTCATGTTGTGAAATAATCTCGACTAAAATTGAAGTCTTTTTTAATTTTAATTTTGAAAAGTCAAAATGTATGAACTAACAAACCACCACAAGTATAAATTTGGTTCGGTTCATAGCCCCATATGTCTTTTAAAAGGCTCCATGGTGGTTGTTTTTATCCTCAAGCGAAGTCGTATCTTATTTCGATACCCCCATCAGGTAAGAGATTGAAAAAGAAACACATACATTAGAATTTTTTATACATAGAAAGAATGGGTCACATTTTGATGCAAGTTATACATAGAAAGAAACACATACTATTGGCGATATACATATATTTACAAACACCCATACCATATATATAAGCCAATTTATTATTAAAGATAAGCTTAGGCGGTTCCGGTGACACCCAAGTCTGGTTTATCTTTTGCTGTTGATTGATTTCCTCTTCTTCTTCTGTTGTCACTCTATTTCTTTACCTCTTCAATCCATTCCGCCACCTTCAGATTTAATTCATCCATTCATGGAAGGATGTGAACGTCGCAAACTAAACACGTCGCATTAGTTCTCACACGAGGCACTATTAAGACGAAACACGTTTATTTATTACTCTACTACGTGGACCTCAATCACCTCATGCACTCGTATTAATTATAATTGATGTTAAAATGAATAAGGATAACGTATGCGTTTTTTTTTTTCAACATTTCTTGAAATTGTCAACATATTAGAACATGTTATATTATTATTTTATTAATTAAGTAACACAGTAAAAACAATCTCCTCTCTTAAACTTTATTTAACTCCAACATATATAGAATATATATATAGAATCTTACCTGAGTATCGCTGCCTAAAACTATCCACCTAAAACTGAAATCTTCTTCAATCTATTTGATAAATTCTTCCATATTGTATAGTACTTCTATCGCTCAACAACACTTTATACTTACTTATTATTTTTAATCTTTTAAAATAATATATGTGGTCGAATTTTTAAATTAAAAAAATTAATACAAAAAAATATATGTATTCGTTTGTTCTGTAACTTTGTTAGTACCTCATTCATTTCAAAGTAAGTGTTTGTTTTTTAATTTTTATTCGTAACAAAATTAGTATCACAGTAATAATCAAAAAAATTATTTTTTAAAAAAGTTAAATTACCAAAAAAAGATATTTATTTTGAAACAAAAAGAGTATTTTATAATTTTATACACAAATTTACACGATAATATAGTTTTTGATTTTAAATGTCAACTTGTAGAAATTATCCAATGATGTAGTTATTTAATGTTTGATGTCACTTAATAAAAATTTAAACAAAAAGAATTTGTCCTGTTGTAGCATTGGAAATGGAGTCACTTTATTAGTTTATCATCAAATTACTTTAAGCTATTTTTTTAATAATTATAAACATATCATGACATCATCATATAATAATTATTATATACAATAAAATTCTAACATAAGTGATGGTATGATATATTTATAACCCGGCTTGTAATATTTGGAGAGAATTTTCAAAATCTTTGGTATGATGATTAGAAATGAAAATTTCACCATGCTGAGCATTAATGTTGGGTTCTCACATTCTCTCTTATCTTTGCTTTTTCTTTCCTAATCTAAAATTCTGGATATAATCTATACACACTTAACTATATCTGAGAAAGACTTTTTTTTTTTTTTTTTCGGAAGGTCATATCTGAGAAAGATTACAGTAAGTATATCAGTTAAAAAGATATATAGTTAATTATGTAATTAAAAGAAACATAATTAATAGTGTTTTCGCTGAAAAAATTAGAAAACGAGAAGAAATTTAGAACCCTCGTACTCCTAGTGTTTGAATGACACTTATTTTGTTTGATATACTCCATTTTTCTCTTTTTATATGTCCCAAATCAAAGCATCTTTTTTTTATATTTCCATCATTGTCCTATATCTTTTAAAAAAATTTCAAACTTTGTAACTATATATATTTAAATTAAAAAGGACAATTTGATAATTTTAAAATGAGAGAATGCATTAATTGTATGTTCCCTTAAAAAGTTATAAAACTAAAGATCAACAACTAATAAGGAACGGAGGTTTCCTCTTGGCCTAACAAGCTACACAGTATGCCCAAGGCATGCACCTAAGGGTACAAAAAGAGCTTGAGGCTCGGAGTCCAGCCCGAACCCGCAGAGTTTTGGACTTGCCAAGTCAGTAATGGGCTTAGCCCAGACCGGCCCTACAGAAGAGTTGCTTAGAGGGTACGTCCCAGGCCTGTTAAATGACTGCATATATATATATATATATATATATATATATATATATATATATGCACACACACACTGGCTTTATTTTATTGAAAAAAGTATGCAGAAGTTTGAAGGAGGCTCGGTATAGAAAATTGCAAAGAAACACATCTAATTTTTCTTCTATTTATTTTTACTTTTAATCAAGCCCAACTCGAATGGTCCATTTAAAAATTCCATCCCAAGCCCGCAGCCCACTATCCCAAGGCTTTATGAGCTTTCTGAGTTTTCTTTTAGAGTTTACTAGTCAAAATCTAAGTCATATAAAACGGGAGTGAGAGCAAAAGAGTTTACTAGTCAAAATCTAAGTAATATAAAACGGGAGTGAGAGCAAATTTGAGAGCGGGAGTGTGAAAGTGACAAAATTAAATCACAAATAGTTATAATTTGAGTGAGAACGATACCCGTTGAAAAGGATTGTGTGATTTAGGTCAAAACTCGTTGTGCATATATCATAGATGAAAAATCTCTCCAAAACATTGTAATGTCGAGTGCATTAAGAGACAAGGTAATCCTATGGTTTGTCACTTTGGAAATAGTTTTTGGTTTTTAGAGAATTGAAAATTAGAAAGGTATACAAAAATATTACCTGGTTTCTATTTGATTGGAATGATGGAAAAATAGATGAAAGGGAAATAAGGGATGGATGAGCCATCATAGGGAAGTAAAGGTCTCTTTCTTACTTTTTGTTTGGTTGAATGGAATGAATAAAGTAATATATATATATATTTCTTGGTCGAAAGGAAGGGAAATAGAGTTTTTATTTTCTTTTTACTAATATACCCTTATTATATACAATTATAAATATTAGATATTCATTTCAAAATTTTAAGGAGGTTAGAAATTTAAATTACTGAATAATTGTTAATTAATCTTATTTTCTCTCTCATCTTCCTCCCAATTGTGGGCCGATAGAAAATTACAAAAGAAGAAAGGATGGCTTCCTCCCTCTTTTCCCTTACCTCTAACCAAACACAAAAATATTATTTTATCCCTTCTCTCATCCATTCCTCCTTAATCCATACCTCCAACCAAGCATAACATCAGTTACAAAAGGGATGTTGGAAGATGTTTGTTTGGAAATTTCCCGAAAAGCCCTATTGTGATTCCTAATACAAGAGTCAAAATAGGGACAAGCATCCATATGATCTCATAGACCTCTTTTAACGATTCCAATCTGGAAAAAGAATTGATAGCTTGTACTTCTGTTGAGAAATATTTTTTATAATTCTCTAAAAATAGTTTTTATTTTCTAAATTTCTAATAAAAAACTGGAGATGTTTTTGTTCTCCAGCACAATATGGAAACCTTTTTCTTACTTATATGAATGTCAACAAATGTCCTATCTAATGAATTTTGTTAATTTTCTAAAGTGAAGGTTATGGGTTCAAGTTGTTCAACTACTACAAAAAAGGACATATAATGGAAGTGTGAATTATATTTGTTCGAACAAAATAAAAAAGAAGCGCATCATACATTCATTATGTGGGACTTGAGGGAATAAAATAATCATATTCCAGAAAGCGACAAAATTACAAGACTTGAAATCTCTTTTCTCCCTCAAATTTCTCAGCGACCAAACAGAATGCATGAGGAGCTGAAAAAGTAAAAAAGTTGACTCAACGAGTCTTATGTGAATCATGTTCTCAGTTACATTTATAAGATATGATATCCCAACCGTCACATATTTATGGTAGCTTTTAATTTGCAAAATCCCTTCAAATAAATCAATCGGTCACTTACGAATATTAATGCTATCCATCTCCGCTAATACTTCCTCTTTGGCTTCAGATTTCTCCTCATTTTTCTGGCTTTTTTCTTCTTTGCTCTTCCCCCACAAAAAACTGTAAAGCCCTCCCACCAGCAGCATAGCACCACAAGCACTGCCACAAAATGGAAAGTAAAAAAATTAATTATGATTAATATTTAATTAAGCATAATATATATATATGTAACCTTAAATACGCCATTGATATAACATCACTGGTGTCATTTTATCAAAAAATAAAAACATTGCGACTAGTGACGGACCCAGGAATTTTTTTGAGGGGGTATATTGTTGAGGAATAAAAAACAAATTTGTGAAGTGGGGCATTTTAAAAAATTGAGTGGGGGCATTTTTGAAATTTTAATTAAAACTTTAGGTAATAATATAAATTAGCAAAAATCCAGTGGGGAAATAAGTGAGGTAAAAATATGAAGGGGGCATTTTAAAAAATTGAGTTTAACTACAACTATAGGTAATAATGTAAATTAGAAAAAATTAGTCCCTATTGGGCCTGATCTGGGTCGGTGCCTGCTTGCGACACCAAACACGGTGGAACACCCAATGAGGTGGTGAGTGTCTCAACTGTTATGGTGGGACACTGTTAGCCCCTTGACGGTTGTCCAAGGGAAGACATGGGCATTTCAAGGCCATGCCATGTCTTAGGAATACTTTGGCTTTGATTAGACAGCCATGAGGGTGCTCAGTGGGTTGTCAGCGTGCACAAGATGCTCAGCGTGCACACAAGATGCTTAAAAGGATGCTCGGCGTGCACTGGGGGTGCCCAGTGGCACTTTCGTAAATATGGCGAAAAGTGAAACTTGGAGTTTTGACTCGGGATCTTTATGGGAGATACCTTGAGTCCATAGAAGCTGGTTGGCGCAGACGGCACTTAATTTGGATGTCGGGAAAGGTCTGAAAGGCCATTATGACTCCTCAAGCATGGGTGATGTTTACTCCTGTCAGAGTGCTGGATTTCCTTAAGACTATATTAGGGGGGGTCTGTTGAGCGCATCGGTTGGGCTATGGCATGGCTTGCTTAGAGGGCTTAGCCAACGTGCATGGGCACGTGTTGCACCACTCCAAGATGGTTGCACAAGTGGGGAGCATCCAAGATATTGAAGGGCAAATAAGTGTGCACCGACACGCGCGCTGGAGTGCAGCGGCGTACGTGCGGGCATGCAGGTTGGTGCGCGGGTAGACGTCCAACCTAGTGTGCACGAGCGTCTAGCTCGGCGTGCACATGGGCGTCCAGGTGGGTGTGCAGCCACGGGCGCATGAGGGTATAAACATGGCGCGCAAAGAAGGGCACTAGTGTGTGCGCCGGCGTGCACTTTGGTGTGCACCCGAGCGTGCGCACGGGCGTGCATGGCTTGGCACGCCGTGCACTCAGAGACATATATATGTGGGTGCAGATTGGTGGACTTGGGCTAGGTTCACAAGGTTGACTCAGATGTGGCTAGAGCATGGATAACACAAAGTCATGGCTTGCGGTTACAAGAGGTGGTGGCTTAGTGGGCTCGGTTGGTTGGGGGAAGTTACTAGCACTTCCCACTCATCATGGGAAGTGGGGGAGTGCTGAGTAACCTCCCAAACATGTGGCACAATTCTGAGAGGACCAACACACAGGCGGTTAAGGGTGGTTTCCTCCACCATGCAGAATCTAACTTCTTGTGGTTATGTGGCATGAGGAGAACATGCCAACAAGCCTAGCAGTTGGGCTTGTCAACTGCATTATAGTGCTGGCTCATTTAGAGGGTGCCAGCACGACCCTAGGTGGATGGGGGTGTCATCCATCATCTTAGTGGGCAGTTATGGGCGGTTTTGAGAGTGGCCTATATAATGCTAAGGTGGGCTTTGTAGAGGGAACAGAGAAGAGGGTGTGAGCCTTGGTTGTTCCTTGTACGAACTCATGTTCCTTTGTAATATGTTTAATATGAGCAAAGGTTGGGGCTTGTCCCTGTAAACTGTGTGTGCCTTCTTTATATTTCTATATTGTGTGTATTGTGTTGTTGTGTTGGCTGAGACTTGGTGGCCCCAAGTGCCATTGCAGAGGCAAAAATTCGTGGTGTAATTTAGCCCTGTGACAATTGGTATCAGAGCCCTGTTCTACGATGGCTGGAGGTAATACTCGTGAAAGAGTTTCCCATTTGGAAGAGTTCGTGGGTTTTCCTACAGAATCAGAGGTACAAGATGGTGCAGAGAGCCTTGTTGTTCGAATTGAAAACTTGGCTTCTGAATTGGAGATCTTGAAGACTGATCCTGATGGGTTTGGTGACTTCATGCAGGCCACCAAAGAGCAATTGTCCCGTATCTCTGAAGATGTTGAGTCACTGACTGACGTCTTCAAAAAGAACCTGAAAGACCTTGAAGATGAAGTGTCCTTGGTGAAGAGGGCCATTCATGGGAGTTCCAGAGGCGGTGGTGATCCTCTTTCGCAGAAGATCAAGGTGCCGGATCCCAAGTCTTTCAGTGGTACCCGAAATGCCAAAGAGTTGGAGAATTTCCTATGGGACATGGAGCAGTACTTTAAGGCTGCTCGGATCCCTGATGGCGAGAAGGTGACCATTACAAGCATGTATCTGTCTGGTGATGCAAAGCTATGGTGGCGCACACGGACAGAGGATGATGCTTCTGCGGGTAGGCCTCGGATTGAAGTTTGGGAGACCCTCAAGAAGGAATTGAAGGACCAGTTCTTGCCTCAGAACACTGCATGGATTGCAAGGGAAACTCTGAAAAAATTGAAGCACACAGGTACCGTTCGTGATTATGTGAAGGACTTTAGTTCCTTGATGCTGGACATTCGAAATATGTCAGAGGAGGACAAGCTGTTCAATTTCATGTCCGGATTGCAACCATGGGCTCAGGCAGAACTCCGTAGACAAGGTGTGAGGGACCTTCCTACTGCCATGACAGCGGCAGATTGTCTTGTAGATTTCAAAATGACTGGGTCTACTACACAAGACAAGAAGAAGTCCAAGGAGGGGAAGAAAGACAAAGGCCAGTCCTTCAGGTTCAAGGACAAAAAGAAGGACAAGAATCAAAAGAAGGATAAAGGGGGTGGCTTTGTCAAGGCCAAGGCAGATTACAACAACAAAGGGAGTAGTAGTGGGACTAAGCCCAACTACGGTTGTTTCATCTGCAATGGTCCCCATCGTGTTAGGGACTGTCCCAAGAGGGAGAAGCTGAGTGCTATTGTCGCTGAATCAAAAGGAGACTCAGACTCGGGATCTGGTCCAACCCGAGTTAATCCTCTGCAAATGCTGAATGCTCTTACTGAAGAACAGTCCATGGAGTTGAAAGGGCTCATGTTCATTCAGGTGACACTGAACGGCAAGGAAGTTTTGGCAATGGTGGACACGGGGGCCACTCATAACTTCATTGCGCAGAGGGAAGTAAGTAACTTTAATTTAAAGTTAATTCCACATGCTAATAAGATGAAAGCTGTGAATTCTGAAGCCAAGCCTGTTTTAGGCATGGCCACCACTTCTATGAAAGTTGGTTGTTGGGAGGGCGTAGTTAGTCTTATGGCTGTTCCCTTAGATGATTTTGATCTAATTCTTGGAATTGAGTTCCTTACGAAAGCCAGAGTGGTAGTTGTACCATATTTGGGAGGAGTTTTTATTTGGGACAGGAGTTGTCCATGTTTTATTCCATCAGTGGCTCTTTATGGGCACCAAAAGAAGGAAGATCGTAAATATGGTTGCATCGAAATAATCTCTGCTTTGCAAGTGAAAACAGGTTTGAAGAGAGGAGACTCTACCTTTCTTGCAGCTATGATAGAGATCAAACCGGACCAGCTTGTTGAAGTTCCGGATTCTGTTGCTGAAATTCTAGAGGAATTTGCAGAAGTGATGCCACCAGAACTACCCAAGCAATTGCCCCCTCGACGTGCTGTTGATCATAAGATAGAGTTGGAGCCGGGTGCAAGGGCTCCTGCTCAGGCCCCATATCGGATGGCGCCTTCAGAACTGGCTGAACTGCGTAGACAGTTGGATGAGTTGCTGGAGTCTGGCTATATTCAACCATCCAAGGCACCGTATGGCGCGCCAGTGTTGTTCCAGAAGAAGCAGGATGGCTCAATGCGGATGTGTGTGGATTATAGGGCTCTGAATAAGGTGACTGTGAAGAACAAGTACCCAGTGCCCAATGCCGCAGACTTATTTGACAGGTTGTCAAGGGCATCCTATTTTACTAAGCTGGATTTACGTGCAGGCTACTGGCAGGTGCGTATAGCAGAAGGAGATGAACCCAAAACTGCATGTGTAACTCGTTATGGGTCCTATGAATTTCTTGTAATGCCGTTTGGGCTAACTAATGCCCCGGCAACCTTCTGCAACTTAATGAATAATGTGTTTTATGACTACATCGATCGCTTTGTTGTTGTTTATTTGGATGACATTGTAGTCTATAGTGAGTCATTGAAAGATCACTTAAAACACTTGAGATTGGTTTTCTCAAAACTGAAGGAGTTTCAGTTATTTGTCAAAAAAGAGAAGTGTGAGTTTTGTCGCCAAGAAGTGATGTTTTTGGGGCATTGGATCAGTAAGGGCCATGTCAGAATGGATGAGAGAAAGGTGAAAGCCATCCTTGATTGGTCTGCACCTACCAAAGTGACAGAGTTGAGATCTTTTCTAGGGTTGGCAAATTACTACAGAAAGTTTATAAAGGGGTATTCCAAGAAGGTTAGTCCTTTAACGGACTTACTGAAGAAAGACAAACAGTGGGTTTGGTCTGAGGAGTGCCAGAATGCTTTTGAGATGCTTAAGCAGGCAGTGTCTACAGAACCGGTCTTGAGACTGCCTGACTTTGGTTTGCCATTTGAAGTGCATACTGATGCCTCTGATAGAGCAATTGGTGGGGTTCTAGTCCAAGAAGGACACCCATGTGCCTTTGAAAGCAGGAAGCTTAAGGATGCTGAACAGAGGTATACAACTCACGAGAAGGAGATGACTGCAGTGATACATTGTCTTGACGCATGGAAGCACTATCTGTTGGGTACTAAGTTTACAGTGGTGACTGATAATGTGGCCAATACCTACTTCAAGACACAGAAAAAGCTTACTCCAAAGCAAGCTCGTTGGCAAGAGTTTCTTGGGGAGTTCAATTTTGTGTGGGTTCACAGACCTGGAAAGCAGAATCAGGTTGCTGATGCCTTGAGTAGGAAAGAAGTGCAGGAGTATGTGGCGTCGTTGACAACGGTGTATACTGATTTCCTTGACAGAATCAAAGAGCAATCTCAGTCCGACAATGCCTATCAGAAACTAAAGCAACAGGTTACTGATGGTGAAGTCAGAAAGTACTGGATTGAAGATAATCTACTCTATGCCAGAGGAGGTAGATTATATGTTCCTGTTGGAAGTTTGAGACGGGAACTAATGCGGGAAATGCATGATCCTCAGTGGGCTGGACATCCAGGGGTGGATAGAATGCTGGCGTTGATATCCAGATCATATTACTGGCCCAAGATGGAGGATGACATAGAGTTATATGTCAAGACTTGCTTGGTCTGTCAGAAAGACAAGCATGAAAGGAAGAAGGAGGCAGGGCTACTGCAACCTTTGCTTATACCAGAGCGTCCATGGCAGTCAGTTTCAATGGACTTCATTTCTAGTTTTCCCAAGGTGGAAGGTATGAGATCTATTTTTGTGGTTGTAGATAGATTCTCTAAGTATGCAATTTTTATTGCTGCACCACATGCATGCCCAGCGGAAGTTGCTGCTGGTTTATTTCATAAGTTTGTGGTGAAATATTTTGGCTTGCCCGAAGATATTGTTAGTGATCGCGACACCAGATTTACGGGAAGGTTCTGGACAGTGCTATTTGGCTTGATGGGTTCTGAACTAAAGTTCTCCACAGCAAACCATCCTCAGACTGACGGACAGACTGAGAGGATGAACCAGTTATTGGAAGAATATCTGAGGCACTATGTCACTGCAAGTCAGAAAAATTGGCTGGAGTTGCTAGACACTGCACAATTCTCTTATAATTTGCACAGGTCTTCAGCAACTGGAATGAGTCCCTTTGAGTTGGCAACAGGGCAACAACCTCGCACACCACAGGAGGTGGCAGTGCAGAGGACAGGTGGAAGATGCCCTGCAGCATATCGATATGCCCGTTCCATGCAAGAGATGGTGGAGGAGGCACAGGACAGCCCTGCCAAGGCTGCGAGAAGGATGAAAAAGTATGCAGATAAAGGGAGAAGGCCATTAGACTTCCAAGTGGGAGACAAGGTTCTGTTGAAGTTGACTCCACAGATTTGGAAGAAGATAAGCAGCAAGACTGTTCACAGAGGGCTGATTCAGAAGTACGATGGTCCATTTGAAGTTGTGAAGAAAGTTGGGAATGTTGCTTACAGATTACAGTTACCTGAGAGACTGAAGGTCCATCCTACTTTTCATGTGAGTTTCCTCAAGCCTTTTCATGAGGACACTGCAGATACATCAAGACAGCAGGCTAAGAGAGCCCCACCTGTTATTCGGTTGCAGTTTAACAAGGAGGTGGAGAAGATTTTGTCTCACCGGACCCAGGGTCAGAGTAAGAAAAATCGCAGAACTGACTACTTGGTGCAATGGAAAGGATGCAGCAAAGCAGAGGCTAGTTGGGAAAGAGATGTGACATTATGGCAGTTTGAGAAACAGGTAAAGGAGTACTTGGACAAGTCGACGAGGGCGTCGACTTCTTCTGGTGGGGGTGGTTTGTTAGCCCCTTGACGGTTGTCCAAGGGAAGACATGGGCATTTCAAGGCCATGCCATGTCTTAGGAATACTTTGGCTTTGATTAGACAGCCATGAGGGTGCTCAGTGGGTTGTCAGCGTGCACAAGATGCTCAGCGTGCACACAAGATGCTTAAAAGGATGCTCGGCGTGCACTGGGGGTGCCCAGTGGCACTTTCGTAAATATGGCGAAAAGTGAAACTTGGAGTTTTGACTCGGGATCTTTATGGGAGATACCTTGAGTCCATAGAAGCTGGTTGGCGCAGACGGCACTTAATTTGGATGTCGGGAAAGGTCTGAAAGGCCATTATGACTCCTCAAGCATGGGTGATGTTTACTCCTGTCAGAGTGCTTGATTTCCTTAAGACTATATTAGGGGGGGTCTGTTGAGCGCATCGGTTGGGCTATGGCATGGCTTGCTTAGAGGGCTTAGCCAACGTGCATGGGCACGTGTTGCACCACTCCAAGATGGTTGCACAAGTGGGGAGCATCCAAGATATTGAAGGGCAAATAAGT